TTGGCTCTGCACTGTCGATTGATGTCTTGATCAGCTAAATGAATACATTTGAATTGTCTGCAGAATGTGTTGTACCAAACCTTTGTAAACTTATTCCTTTCATTGTTTATTGACTTCGGTGGTTGGGAAAATGGAGGCATCACTGTACAGTGATCCTTCAACGTTTGCTCTCTGGTATAAATTCATACCCTACAAAATTCTATTTGATAACAAATATTTGAGGGCCTTTTGCCATGGCTGCTCCGTTTGAAAATCCAAACATGAGGCGGCAATGACCCCAGGTTGAGAACCACAAACATTTCGAAATTAGTTTACATGGGGGACAAGCGAAGCAAAAGCAAGAAATTGACAATTCACGACAAGAACTCGATTAGAGAGTTTTATAAGGCTCATATGTCTATCAAGGCCACACAAGTCCAGCGCTGGGCGGCTCAGCAATTTGGCCAATCCGCCCACGTCACGACCATTCGTCGAATCCTGAAGGATGAGCGGACCATCGAGTCCTACAACATAAAAGAGGAGTCAGCGCAATGTGGGTTTAACAATCAGCGACCAAAATACCCCGAACACGACCGCGAAGTCGCAAACTGGGTGCGAACAGCCAATTCCAAGAACGCTTGCGTGACGGGCGAACTGATCCTCAGGGCGGGCCAGCGTATCGCGACAAAACTGAACCTAAGTGGACGCGTTAGTTGTTCAAATGGGTGGTTATACCGACTTCAAATTCGCCACAACTTGAAAATATACCGTCTTCACGGAGAAGCCGCGTCTGCCAAGTTCCACAACCGTCGCAAACGCCCGGTGCCACGATCCTAGATATCGTCCGTCGTTTCAACCCTTCCGAGAACTACAATATGGATGAAACCAGAGTTTTTTATCACTCACAACCACGTACTACAATCGCCGATCAACCGAGGTCGGGCCAAAAGCAAGACGAGAACCGGGTTCAGTTGCCCTTGCCACGAACGCTGACGGGACCAACAAATTGCAGCCGATGTTCATTGGGAAAGCCAAGAAGCCGCGTTGTTTCGGAGGCTTGATTAGCCGAGTATTGGGATTGCTGTACCACTCTAATCGCAAGGCCTCGATAACCATGGCCTTATTTTCGGAGCGGCTAAGTAACTTCAACTCACGGATGGCAAGTGAGGAAAGGTTCGTCCTCCTCATCCTAGATAACGCATCATCTCACAACCCACTGGACGTCAACCTTACCAACGCCCGCCTCTTGATGCTCCCGACGAACACGACTGCGTTCTTGCAGCCGATGGACGCCGGCATTATTGCGACGTTCAAGCGCCACTACAAACGACATCAATTGGATCATGTCATTGAAGTCATTGAAGGCAATACCAGTGTTGTAGACAGCGACCAGAAGAACTTGTACGCAGTCGAAGTTCTGACGTCCATGAATTGGTCGATGGCTGCTTGGGGATTCATCTGCGGTCTTCCCTCTGACCCCAGGCCATTCAATTTTTCGTTTACTCATCTGATGTAGTTCACCAGTCGCCTGTAACATTTGATATTTGTTTCGTGTGCACATGAGTCCCTAGAATAATCTATAATTGGAAAAGCGAGCAAACGTTGAGGGTTCACTGTATTGATGGATCTTGACGTGGGACGTACTGAATGACTACACTACCGGATAATTAGGACAGTAATTCGAGGGACAAGGGACACCGAGGGACACCCAGGGACAATGAGGAACCAAGAAGCGCCACCAAATGTAACCACTCCGGTACTTTTTTGCAGAGGAACACTGAATCCGGATAGAAAGCCGGATAACGCGGTGGGGAAGAGACTGGAAGGTTGGAGGCAAATTGCAGAATAAATTAGAACACAGGATTCTTCGCAA